CCCCCCCCCCACTGACCCTCAACCACCACTACGCTAACCCCTGTCGTGAGCGCACCTCTCTCCACTCTCCGTGTTTTGAAGCTGGTGTGTGGTGTGTGCCGTGTGTGTATTTTGGTAGGGCAGCAGTTTTCGTCTCGAACCTCGAGCATCTGGGCTCCTGACGGGGGGTCTAGGTCAAAATCGTTCGGACCGTAGTGAAAGAATTCAAAACTGGGTCAGACGAAAGCGAGGCGGGATGGGGGCGGGGGCGGGGGCTGCTTAGCCCGAGGCCTAGCCGACTGCTGTCTCTTTCGACTCGACTGTCTTTCGCACACACCAGTGAAATACGGACTCCAGCAAGCAAAAAACCGTTCCGGTAAAGCTGGGATGGACAAGAAAACGCACTATTCTCCTATTCACCTTTACCTGAATGGTTTATAGACACCCACCGAAAAGACCCTAAACCCAGAGTAACGTGTAACATGATGGGGCAGATAGGGGAGGCAGGGAAGGGATTGGTCGGGTCGACACCACGGGCAACCACCACGGCCACGTTGAGGGTAAAGGGGAAGGGTCAGCTTAGCAACCTAGTACAACAAGTGTACCGGTGAGATCAGGAAGAACAGGAAGAACGCGCATTAGTTCGTAGACCTCTCTTACCGGAGTCGAGGGGTGGGAGCTAGGGAATGGATTGAGCTTGGTGGTGCCGCTGGTGGGGGTGGGGTCCCGCTGCGGAAGAAACTTCCATTCACTCGAAGCCTTCCCCCAAAACGTCGTGGGGGGTGGGGGTGGGGGTGGACAAAGCTATGTACGTCACGACGTCGCGCACGTCCATGCCGAGCAGAGCCAGGGCGCTGCCGCCGCCGGGGTTCACTTGGGTCCCGGTCAATAACGCCATCACCATTGGCGCCTGTTTGATTACTATTTATTTGTACGCTGCGCCCTGCGAGCGGCTCGGCCTTGAGACGGCGCGGGGTGGAGGGAGACAGCAGCGAGTGATAGATAAGCGGCCCCGGTGATAAACTCGCTTCGGCGCGAACGCGCTCGGTATTTGAACCCGGGGGGTCGCCGGGGCTGGGACACAAGCGTCTCGCAGAGGCACGGGCAGGGGCAGGCAGGGGGCAGTCACACGGGGCAGTCACTCGTCACACGGGCAGCAAGGCGGGGGCCAGCAGTTAACGGGCGCATGCGAGGGTGACCTCCGCGGGCGCGAGCACACGCACAAAACCATGTTCCATTGCCGCATGGGGTCCCTCGACAAAATAAGACTAACCGTGGTCGTTCCCAGGTGGCGGCGGAGGTGCAGTCCGAGCAGGGGGACGCGTCCACTCGGGACTGCGGCCGGGGCCGGAGGGTCGACGCCCTCGCGGGGTGGCGGCGGCGGCGTCGGCCCGGGCGCCGCGGCACCGGGCCAGCAGCCCGGCGGGGACGACGCGCGGGGTCGCCAGCCCCTCGGCCCGGCCGCGAGCGCCACACCGCGGGCCCAGCCGCGCCGCAGCATCGCGAGCGCCCCTCTGCGGCCCTGCGGTGGGCCGGGGCGCAAAAGTGTTGTTGCCACCGAACGCGGCGGCGGCGGTGCCATGGCGCCGCCCGGGCGTCCCGACGCTCACGACGCTCCCTACGACGGGCGCCACGTGCCGGCCCATCACGCGCACGACGCGCCGTTGTTGTTGCGAGACAACAACCCGTTTTACTTTATCTACAACCCTAACCCCTCCCCACCTTCGTCCCGCTCTATAAATAGAACGGCGAGCCCACCCGAGCAAAGAGCGCTGGGTATGTATATATCGTTTGTTGTGCATCGGCCGGGGCCGGGGGCCGAGCCGGGCGAGGCGGGTGGAGAGGGTAAGACGTAAGACGTACTCGCACACAGAGCCACGTGCCACGTTGTCAGCGGGAGCACCGCTGTTTGCAAGTGCGTGGCGTGCGTGCGTGTGCACCGTCACCGTTCCCCGTACTGCCATGCGTGCCGTCTAGGGCGTCGTCAGCACCGCCTTACATCCCAAACACCACCGCGACGGCGCCACGTCCGATAAGCCAAGCCACGCCCTCCGTTTTCTGCTTCTCATCACCCGACCTGACACCTGACCCGGACTGTACCGGGCCGGATGTGGTGGTATGGCCGCGGTGGTGTGGTCGCGGTGACCGTGACCCTCTCCGCTCGGGGCTCGAGACAGCGCGGAGCTGCGCCGCGACTGTATACCCCGGCAAGCCCCGGCCTGCTGGTCCGGGTGTGGAGGTATTGGGTCAGGTTAGGGCCATGAGGGCGGGGCGGGGGCGGGGCCGCGCCGGCGAGAGTGAGAGTGCGTCAGCGCGATCTCTCGACCCGCCGAAGGGTGTGTGTGTGGACAGCGGGGACACGCGGCCCACGCGGCCGCATTCGGCCTTCCGCCGCCGCCGAGGCTGCAAGTGCGCATGTATGTGTAATACTGCAGTGGTGGTGGAAGAGGGGGGGGGGGCTAGCGCAGCGTCCATCAGCTGGTCACCAAAAGCCCACCGTAACTGCGGTACTTCAAACTTCAGTAATCGACGAAAAACACAAAAAAACAAAGAGTGGGAAAAACTATCATCCACGACTTGTGTGTTTTGTTGTACCCCTTTCGCTTTAGAACACATTTCGAGAACCATATCCCTATTAAGGGATGGTCGGGATAGGGGGTGGGGAGTGCTGGTAGTTACTCCAGGTCAACGCACGGACCCCCTCCCTCCCCACGAGCCTCGGTGCTGAGCGGTCGTTATGGTGTAGTCACCATGTGGTCACTAACCGCGTCGCTCGTCGCCGCGGTGCCTTGTCACGTGAGACTTGCTTCACGATCGCGAGCGCCGCACGGACACCGAGAGAGAAAGAGAGAGGGAGAGTCGTCGCTCTGCGTCCTGCGAACTCAGGCAGCGGCGACGCACGCCTGCGCCTGCATCACCCTGCAGCCTTTTATGTCGTCGGGGCACCACCGCGACTCTGCCACGCCACGCCGCGACGCCACGTCGACGCGGCCCGGGGGGTGCGACTGTACTGCCCCGTGGCGGCAGGGACACTGCCGCGAGGGGGGGCTCAGCGAGGGTGGGGGCTCACTGACGGCATGGTCTGGCCCCGCACCCCGCTGCGCACCCCGCTGCAACCATACCCATGCCCCCCTCTCCCCTCTGAAGCCCCACCCCCTATCGCCTGCCTCCTTTCCCCCTCCACTTTACTCCACGCGCGCGTTCGGCCTGGAAGTCGCACCGATAAGAAAATAATAATACTCTCCACCCCATCATGATCGGTGAGGCTCCCTATGGGAAGGCCGGCTGTATGGGGGTACGAGGGGGAGGGGGGGGGTATGTTGTTTATCCAATCTGCTTAGGGGTGAGCGTTAAAGCT